AGAGAGAGAGAGAGAGAGAGAGAGATCATCATCATTATCATCATCATCATCATTATCATCATCATCACCAACATCATCATCATCATCATCGTCATATATTATGTAACTGCTTCTAGTTCTATCATCGGAGACAGTGTTAAATTCTTTAACACCATAGTTCTGTTTTCAGTAACATTTTGTTAACTTCCTCTGAATCTGCTCTTCACTTGTACAATATCGCACTCTTGGGAGAAAATGAATGGTAACTAGAACTAATAGCAATGTATCGTTTACTTTTGTATTTATTTATTCATTTATTTGTTCATTTATTTATTCATATATAAAACACTCTCCTTAGTGTTTACTTTAACACTAACACCTAATTCCAAAATCCAAAATACTGCACACTTTGTTGTTGGTACTAGACACAAAAGCGCCAGATGACAGAATTGGGCACAGTAAAAACAAAACAACGTTCAGTCTACCATCTCCACCTCTGACCTCCTCATAACCTTGTGTTGGTCTAGGCTAATACAACACAAGCACAACGGTATGCTAAATTGTCCTCAATTTGACAGGATTAACCCTATCTGTACGTCGTGTTTTACTATCGTATCCATACGACTAGGAGAACTCTGTACCACCACTTTCCAATGAGGAAATTTACTCGTTAATCCGATCCGTACGCTTTGCATAGCAGTCTGTGAAAATGATATTTTAAGAAATATTGAAAGTTTCAAAGAGATCTTCGTACTAGAAATATTTTAAAATGTGAAGAGTACAACCCCGTGGGTACAAAATGACCCCAGAGGATATAGACAGTGTTAAGCAAGAAAAATACACTACCCCTCCCCCTTTTTCATTAAAAAAATAAAGAATAAATATTTCCAGTAAAGAGAGAAATGTGTAAAGAACTCACTTCCAGCCGTTGGTGTGGTGCTGATGGTAAAGTTGAGGTAGTCTATGTCATTACACACGTCTGTATCTGTCAGTGTGTTCGCCACTGCCTGGGACGCCATCACACTGTCCAAACCTGGGGGACGCATCGATAAACACACAATGATAGGCCTACATGATGGTGAAGTGATAACTAAGTAAAAGTAAAGTTGTTCCCGAATCCGATCCGCGCTTTGGGGATTGTCTTGTTAGTGAGACAACTTCCTAGGCCTTCGGCATTTTGTGGTAGGGTGGCCAGTTCCTTTCCACGCCGCCTTTACTTCCCCGACTCTAAGTCATGTACCCATTACTGCTGGGTGGGCAGGAGGGGGGCGAAAAAAATCCGTGTCTGAACTGAGGCTCGAACCCGGACTTTTTGCTTCGAAGAAAAGCACGATACTTAAGGTGTACCCAAAATATAAGGAATGTCTATTGTTGCAAAACGTGTGTGCATGTTTGTCTGCGTGTGTGTGCATTTTGTTTGTGTGTGTGTACTTATGTGTATGTGTTAATGGATGCGTGTGAATATGACGTGTGTTTCTGTGTGTGT